CCGTATGGTCCGTCAGAAGGCATAGTTATTCTTTTTCCCAGAGGTTAGGGGCGGGGGGGTGGATAGGCCGAATTTCTTTCTTTTTTTTCAGTGCTCCTACAATTCAAAGAATTATCATCGTCATCACCAGTAGCATTATCATTATTATTCACATCGTCATAGTCATTATCATTATCGTTGTCGTTCGTTCGTTATCGTTATTTTTATTATTGAATGTCCATCTATCTACTTTTCACATGTTCCTTCATGACGATGTTTTTTTAATGCGTAATTACTACTTAACCCTTAGTTAAATTGGTTGTAGAAAGGTTACCTCCTTATAAAAACACACACGCACGATCCCAGCCGGTATAGGGAAATGATTCTGATTTAATTCCTGAACACTCTCAACTAATTCAAACGTCTAGCTACCATGGCCAAATCCTATTTTTTTTCCTTACAGCTTTTCAGTACTTGAAAATAAATGTCGACTTTTAAATTGACTCAGGAGCCTGATCAAATACATTAGAGTTGCATGTCTGACCGGTGTAGTATTAGGTTGGGAAAATGCTAAACATTATGTGAACTATTAAATGTAGCTGCTCCCTTAGCTCAAATTTGCTCGCTGCATGTGCGGATTAAAACGTACGTCCAGATGATGCAATACAACGAGTAAAGTAGTTAAGAAACATATGCGTGCTGAATATCTTCCACTAACACGGGACGAAAAAACGGATTTACCGAACGTCAAAGGTGAAGTCAAACGGGCGATAAAGGCCACCTTTGCACACCTTTGTACAACTTTGACGCGCGACAAATGTTTACCTTTGCTCGCGGTCAAAGGCGAGTCTTCAGGCGATAAAGGCCGTTTTTGTCACGCCTTTAACCCCTACCTTTGACGCGCGTCAAAGGTATATTTCATTAGCATTTGTACCCCTATCAAAGGCGTCGTCAAATATGTCTGAGATTCAGGCCAAAGGTGTGACAAAAGCGCGGTAAAGTTATGTCTGTGATTAAAGTCAAAGGCTTGTGAAAAGTGTCGTCAAATGTGTCTGAGCCTCAGGTCAAATGTGTGACAAAGTTGTCGTCAAATGCGTCTGAGATTTAAGTCAAAGGTTTGATAAAGGTGTTGCCAAATATGTTTGGTTTTTTTCCTCCCCTCGCATCGCGCTTCTCGCTCGTCTCGCGCTTCGCGTGAATTCCTCGTTCGCCTCGCTAGTCATAAGCGCTTGATATACAGGCTAGAATCCAACTTGAGATTTCAATCAAATTCAATTGCGACCTGGATACCGTTTAAAAAGGTGGACAGATAAGAGACTGAGTTCTTAATCTTGTACTTTATTGTCCTAAAACCTCATTAGATGATTAGAAAGCTGAATAATTCCGATTAAAACTTAAACGCATAAAAATGATTTTTTAAAACCTTTTCACGATTTATGGAATAAAGTACTCATTGCAGTCTGTCAATGGACAATCATAATGACTCCCGCAAATTTTTGAAGCACTATAAATGTTCCAGATACACGCTGTTGTCACGGACGGCAACCTGCAAAATAGTTTAAAACACTTCTTTCACGCAAGCCAGTGCAAAAATCATGGTAAGTAAGAAATGTTCTTGATCAGGAGCCCATCTGTCTTGATGTTATCTTTGCGAAGATTTTCATTCTAGAGTGCTTTTGATTCTTGATGTAAGTGAAAGACAAACGCCATGTATCTAACTTCAATCTTCCTCTGTTGTGTGTTTCGTTCCACTGGAGACTTATCACTTTGCCTTGTTTCTTTTATCTGTGAAATAATTGTAAAAGAATATAGCAATTAGAGATAAAAAATTCAGTCTTAGTGTTTCGGCCCCACTCCCTTTTTACTATCGCTCCTTTCCTGCAGAAAATTCCCCTTTCTCTTTACCTTTATCAAAACTTAAAGACCCGGTTAAAAATGTGTAGCGAACCTAATTCTTTTGAATGGGAACATCACATTTCGTGTACATGCATTGTCATTAAGTTCGTCATTTGTGAAATTTGACGTTTGAATCGAGCCTTATCATCACTTAATTAAGTCCAGGAAAGTTCAATGACAATTTCCCTCCATGCCCAAAGCTTAAAATTAAACTAAAGAAACACTTTATATTATACCTAACCTGCATAACGAGCGTTTCCAATAGAGTTATTGCGCGAGTTAGCCCCTCCCGGCCCCTCCTTCCTCTTTTTTTGCCCTCCACAAACAGTCTCTTGCAGAAAACTCGCGCGGAAAAGCTTGCTACGCAGGCTATTTTTAAAGTTATTGTCCAGTCACAATAAAGAAGAGACAGCTCGGTACGTTTGAATGATTATTATCAAATGTTGAAACACACCTAGCTGCCACTGTGGTGGTACAAAAATCAATGGAATATTTTAAAAATTATGCAGCCTGAGCCCCATTACGTATAGAACCCAGAAAAATCAACAGAAAGAGATACTCACGTCTGTAAAACATCCGAAGTCTTCAAATAACCACACTTCTTTGTTTGATAAACTGCACTGAATCCTGTTCAAATAAGCTTATGTACTTTCTTCAGTAATATGCCCATGAAAGTCTGGTACAGATATTTTTATTGAAGTACACTGTCCATGAAAAAAAATATATGTGAGTCTTATATTATTTCATTACCCTGAAGTAGTTTTCGTGGTTAAATATAACTGTTAGAAAAACCAGAGTTGGTTTATAATCTTGATGTTAGTAGGTTCTCGCATGGAGTTTTGACTTGAATTGCATTGTGAAATATAAGCCAGCTATTACTTTTGCAGAAATGCACTAACCCTATTAAGAAAAAAGGGCTAGATTTAATGTAAACTCTACTGTAATATAGAAAAATTTTTATAGTTTACTGAACCAGATTTAACAATCAGAAAAGCTCCCAAGCACGACATACACGCCTGTTCGGAGATGGTTTTCGTAAGCTTAACACAGTAAAACAACTATGAAGTTTGAAGAACAACTATTGCATGAACACATAGAAAAGAATGACACGTACCTTTTGAACAAGTTTGTGGTCTAAACTCTATCAAAGATAAGGGTGAAAATATTTGTTAACAAAAGCTGGACTGCTTCGTACAAAAAAGCAGCTTTTGTTTTCTTCAGATCTGCGTAGTTTGTTTGTTTGCGCGGGCGGAGAGAGTTTGCAACCGCGACAATTTCGCGCCAAAAACAGGGTGTCTTGTTTGGGTTCAGTCTTCCATCGTCCAATTGTTGAGTCATTGTTTTGCGTCGCTGTCATTACATGGTATATTGATCGATCAAGGATGATCCACTCAAGATAAGACAAAAAAAAATAACTTCGAAAAAGTACATATTCTAGAACATTTTCAAAAACAATTATAAAACAGCAATTACAATGATTACCCGTCCGTGTTCGGTATTGACGTATAAATATCTTTAAAACAGTATTCAAATACAGCTTTTTAATTTCCTTTCTCAATATCAGTTTCGACATAACTGTTTGTAGACGTAATTCATTGCATATTTGCTCTCACCTTTCAGCACCATTCAAGAGTGTTGTAAAAGTGTAGCGGTCGTATTTGACTTCATTTTTGACTAGTATCAAAGGTGTGGTCACAGCTGACTACACTTTTGACTTCATCTTTGACGTGCGTCAAAGGTAAAGTCAAAGTTACCAGCATATTTGACAACGACTTTGATAAGGGTTAAAGGAATAGCAAAGCATTGATTCATTTGACTTCATCTTTGACGCGCGTCAAAGGAGAAGTCAAAGTTGTTAACAATTTGACTTCACCTTTACCGAGGTCAAAGGAGTAAGCAAAGAGCTTATATATTTGGCGACATCTTTGACGCGCGTCAAAGGTGAAGTCAAAGCCAATACCAAATTTGACTTAACTTTTGACTCGTGTCAAAAGTACAGTAAATCCAATTTTTCGTCCCGTGTAAGTGAATGCCAGTCATAGTTGATAAAACTTTTACAGGATAAGTAAATACGAAACAGATTAACCCTTACTAATCAGTCCAAATGCCTGAGTCTCCATATACATTTCCCTACTTTGTGATTCGACAAGCATCATCAAGTATTTACCCCAAACATATGGGTAACGGACTAAAAACCTTGGCGATCAAGATACTTAAAGGAAATCGATGAACTGATATCGCATTCGTAGGCGGCTTGGTCTAATTCAATCAGATTTTGACAGATATTTCACAGTACAATCGCAGAGTATTTAAATGGAATTACAATTTAATGTACATCATTAAAAAGTCAAATTCTGATCTGGCTACGATTTCTACAATAGTTATGTTCATAGTTCTGAATTAATTTCTCCGATATTGTAGAAGTTCTGCTGGAAGCTTCTTTTCATCAAATGTGATCCCCTTAAATATGCTCGCATCAATCCTTCCTCTTTGTTTTGCTGCTTCGATGACTTGTAACATGTGAGCAATAAAACCCTGGGTTGTGAGTACCCACTCGGTATGGATAGGTAACTCGTAACGCTTTGCAAATTCATCAGACACAGGCATTCCCCATCTCTTCCTAAAATTCGTCTCAAACTCGGAATGCGTTGAGGTATCAACAGGATTCTTCATGATAACAAACAGCACTGAAGTCTTACCTTGCAGGTGTTGGCGATAGCTCTCAATTTCCCTACGTACTCGTGTCATTCGGTTTTTGCAATCGCTGCTTGTGCCTTGTTGAGTGAAGCCAATTTTAACAAATTTGAATTGGTCACCAAAGAAGTTAACATTTAAGACGATTCCATTTGCATACGGGGAATTTATTTCTCTCCTCACAATCTCTGGTCTTCCTTTGTCGCTGTTTAAATGCTTAATTAATGTATTACCATTCTGGCCGGACCAAAACCAATTCTTAAACCTCTCCGTCAGAACTTGCTGGGCGTAGTAGTCATCAAGGTTTGCCATAGTTTTGACTCACAATTAATGCAAGACTGAAGAGGTTTTCATTTCACAGCAACGAGTCTTATATAGCGCCCTAGTAGAGGCGGTTTATAAAAAATATATTGTTTCTGGAACGATTCAGC